ATTATTATTATTATTATTATTTCAGGAGCTTTCAATTTATTTATTCTCTAAAGGCATTTGCTATATGTTTTGGCTGAAATCTTTTGTGATGAGACAATTTTTAAATAAAAATAATAATTTCAAACAAAATTAAAATGGTTCTAATTTAATTTTAGGAGTCTGTGGATGTGGCTTAAAGGTTTTATTATGCCCAGTTGGTGCCATGTTGATAAGTCTATTGTAGAGTATTTTTCTTTAACTGAATTAAAGAAAGTACAGTGTTGTCTTTTTTTTTCCTTTAAGGGAGCAGTTAATGGGTGGTTTGTTACCTTTTCCAAATGTTCACTTCCGTTACTGATTACTAATTTTATACTGGTTTCTTAAAAGTTGAAAGAAGACGACGATTCAATATTAATGATCGCATAAAAGAACTTGGTACTTTGATACCCAAGTCAAATGACCCGTAAGTATATAGTAAATTATTATAAGAAGGTACATTGCTTTTAAGAAATGAGTGGACATTTCCCCTATTTAGTAGAAAAGCCTCTTAATTTCCATGAATGCTTTTGACCCTCAAATATATTGCCTAGAGTTTCTCAGAAAATAAAAATGAAGAATTGCTATAGCCAATGCTGTTTACAAAGGTGCCCATCTGCCCCTAAAAATGGAGAAATAAGCTGAAGTGGTAGAGGGCTTTCTAGTAAATCAGTGCTCTGTGACTGGCTGTCCCCATGGTAGACATTTTCTAAGAGCACTTATGACGTACTTTCAAAATGTGCCCAGAAGCTTGAAAGATCAGGTATTGTTGACTTACCCTGTGTGCTAACCACATTCCCATTTCTCTGCACCTTCTCTTCCCCCTTAGGGTTAGGGAGGAGATGGAGTATGTACAGTAGCAAATGATTCTATGCATTATGGAGTGGGTTGGGAAGAACCAAACACATTCTCAAAGACTTTATTCATGTAACAGTGCCTGCCCTTTGGGATGAAGTTCCTCCCGATATTCAAATAGCTTGCACCCTACTGGTTTTGGAAGGGCCCTGGCTTTTCACCTGGCTTTTCACCCAGGCCTTCAGCAAGGGTGATTGAAGCCCCCCCCTTTTTTTTAACTTTGTTCACATCCAGTGTTGTCCTTTCTGCCATCTTTCTTTCTTTTCCCCCTTGTTTTTAAATGTTTTTAACAATTTGGAACCCCCCTAGAATTAGCATATTATGGTTGGTCGCACAGTCAGCCAGATGTTTAGACTGGACTATTTGTTAAATCTATTTATGTCA